CCTATAATGCAAGCACTTTGGGAACAGAGATAAGACCCAAGGTTCCAGGCCAGTCTAGGTTAGACATGGAGATGCTGTGTCCAAAACAAAACAATACAATACAAAAAGGTTAAGAATATCTAGATAATGAGTATGGTGTCACATACAGATTCTCCCAGTATTTGGGAGACTGAAGAAAGAAAATCCTGAATACCATGACAGCTTTGATACAAAATGAGACTCTGTCAACAAAACATAATAATGTTAGAAAGGTGTCTCAGTTTGTGCTTGTTGCACAAACACAAAGACCACAGTCCCTGTCCTGTAACTTACATAAAAACCTGGGTGCAGTAGTGCATGTCTGCAATTCCAGGTTTGGGGAGGTAGAGATAGGTGGGGATACCTGGAGGCCAGTAAGTCTAGTTAAGTGGGTGAGTTCCAGGTTCAATCAGAAACTCTGCCTCAAAAATACTATCAAGGTGGAGTGATTGGAGGGAGATGCCCAGCATCCATCTCTGGTTTCCACAGACAGGAACACACCATTGTATTTCACACATGCAGACATTAAAATTAAAAAAAAAAAAAAAAAAGCCCCGAGCAAGGACTATACTAATTATAGTTACCTCTAGCTGTAAATATATTCAGCAAGACTTATCCCTTTCAAGTGATTCACAGAGTGTAGGCAGCTGGTGCTTCAGCTGTGGACAGAACAGGATTAGGTCAAGTCCATTACAAAGAACACTGTTATCTTTTCCTTGATGTCTTCTTGTCTCTTAGATCCTGCATTCACATCTGCCTGCAGATGCTGTTGGATTCACCTTCTGGATAGAATGGAGTTATGGTTTAAGTGAGATATGTCCCTGTGTATTTGAACATGTAATCCCCAATTTGTGCTGTTTGGGGAGGTTATGGAATCTTAAGTGTATCACTCGGATCAGGCTTTGAGTGGCTCTCATCCCACTCTACCTTTTATTGTCTCTGCACTGTCTATGTGTAGATGGAGCTATGATCAGCCACTTCCTTTTCCCATCTTCATGCCTCCCCCTGCCCACTACCAGGCTTTCCCCACCATGAGGGACTGTCAATCAGTCCGGTACCATATGCCAAAAAAAAAACCTCCCTTAGGTTGCTTTTGGTCCTAGTATTTTATCACAGCAACAGAAACGTAACTCTTTTTAATTTTTACTTTTGAGACAGGGTTTCTCTGTATTGCTTTGGAGCCTGTCCTGGAACTAGCTCTGTAGACCAGGCTGGCCTCGAACTCACAGAGATTTGCCTGCCTCTGCCTCCTGAGTGCTGGGACTAAAGGCTGAAACCAATGCCCAACTGAAATTAACTCTTACACTGGGAGTTACCCTCCCTTCACCTTTGTCCCAGATCTCTGGTTTTTACCTGACCCCTACAGCAGCCCAAAGTGTCACCTCTGAGACCATCCATAGGCTTGTGTTGTTTGGTCCCTGGTAGATCACATCATTTGGGAAGGTTATGGACCCTTTTATGAGGTTTGGAAAGGTTATGGAGGATCTGTGACCCACCAGAATAGGTCGAGATAGCCTCTGAAGGTTTGTTAGTCACAACCCAGATTCCTGTAACTCTCTTCTTGCTGGCAGGCCACAAACCTGTTCTCACACACTCTTACTGCCTTGGATGGAGCTCCTTGACACTGCCAAAACATAACAGATCTGAAACCAGGAGCCATAATCAAAGATCCCTTTCTTGTTTATGTTGGGTACTGTGATTATAGAAACAGGAAAGTAACTGGTGAACTAGCTGTGTAGTGTATGACCTTCCACGGCTGGGTGTGGTGATTCCAATGAGAAATGTCCCCCATAAGTTCACACATTGTGTCCCTTATTCTGTTGGTGGTGCTGTTTGTAGGAGGTTATGGAACTTTATAGGGTGAAGCCTAGCTGGAGGATGCATGCCACTGTGGATGGCCTTCTTGAACATATAGCTAGCTGCCTTACCCCTCTTCCAGTTGGCTCCCTTGGCTTCCTCTTGCATTAATATGTGATCTCTCAGCTGCCTGCTGCCTATATCTTCTGGTCATTATGGCCTATCCCTTTGGAACCACAAGCTAAAATGAACTCTTCTATAAGTCGCTTTTTTGTTCATGCTTTATCATAGCAACCGAATATTAACTAATACATTCAGAAATTGTTCGCAACTCAAGGCAAAGGAAAACTGAAATCTTGCAATGGGAAATATCCTACACAACCTGCCCCGCCTATCCCTCTCCCTCCATGCTCTCTGCCCTCACAGTATGTTCATTTCCTAAAACTATGCTTCAGTCCCTCCTACATACTTGGAACTACTGCTCACAAACATTTACACAGCTTGCACTTTCCAGTCCTTCCTGAAATGTCAGCTTCCCAGTCAGACTGTCTCTGGAGCCGACTGCTACTGTTCCTCACATGGTATTCCAAAACTCTCCCTTATCTTTCCCTCACAAACATTAAGTGCTTCACTTAATTTCTTGTTTACTGCCCAGGACATAATGGCTCATTCAGTGCTTCGAGTGACCTGAACCCAGATATCCACCAACTAGGAATATTGGTACAGGTAATCCCAGCTCTGTGGAGGTAGAGCCAGCAGCCTGAGAAGTCCTGACAGGACTGTCTGGCCTAATCCAAAAGACCTGGATCCAGTAAGACACTCCGTCTCAAATTATAAAGTGGATATCAATTGAGGAAGACACCTGATACCAATCACTGCTCTCTACATGAACCATGCATCCACATACATGTGCATAGAGGACACTCAAAAAACAAAAGAAAGAACAGTTGATAGAAGAAAGGATACTAGTGAGATAGGGGCTTGTCACTAGCAAGACTAAGTATGCCATATTCAGAACATGAAAAGACTCAGCCTTTGCTATGATCACTGGAAAAGGAAACAAAGCTGGAAAGTGCTTAATAATTAATCATGTCTAGGGCTAGGAATATATATATATATATATATATATATATATATATATATATATATTATCATAGTAAATACCTAACAGGCACAAAGCACCCCATTCTGCCTCCAACACTGCATAAAACTGGGACCAGCAGTGCACACTGGTCTCAGTGCACTTGGGAGGTGGAGGCAGGAGGATCAAAAGTTCCAGATTATCTGAGTTTTAGGTGATTCTTGGGTGCAGGAGACTTAATCTCAAAAACTAGCTGTCTATCATGCTTACATGGAACATGGAAGGAGGGTACATGGGACAACACGAACTACATCAGGAGCAGGATCTAGTAAGAAAAAAAAATTGTGGAGCCTGTACAAAGGGGCAGGAAGTGAGTTCATGAAGTTCAAAGGGTAGTCATTTCAAGATGGAGGAAGAGCATTCAGACATGGGAAAGAGCTCTCAAAGATCAGTGGACCAAAGCTGAAGCCACCTGAGCTGAAAAGTAACAAAGAAGACATGACAAGAGATAAAGCCTGCATGATAAAACAGTGCTGGCTTTGGATGGTTGTTATGAGCACTTACTGGACTCCTATCGGTAGAAATGAGTAAGGGGTGGCAGAGGAAAGGAGGTGATGAGGATGGAGGGAGGGAAGAAACACATCATTGTAAATAGGAAACATGCAAAATCATAATTGACACCACAGGGAGAAAGGGAAACTGCAGGACAGGTTGGTAAGCTCTCTTCCTTGTGTGGCAGACACAACTAGGTAATGTAAGGATTCAGGCATAATGCTGGCCTTCCCTGCCACCTTACAGAATGCACTAAGGCAGTGCCCTGGTCAGACCAGGGTTCCATGTATGCATAGTTTGCATGCAGGTGCAAAGGACCCCTTTATAAGAAAGACTACCACCCACTTTTGTTCTCTTTCCCTCTGTTGGGGGGGGAGGGGCAGACAGGGCTTGTCCTGTCTCCCTCTTCTCTTCTGTCCTCTGTCTGTCTTTTTACCTATTGTCTCTTTCCTTCCTCCTCCCTCCCCTTTCTAATAAAACTCACTAAGCTCTGACTGCCCGGCATGTCTGTCCCCTGCCTCCATCATCTTCGCCTGCCATAAAATCTGCCAAGGTCCCCTACACAAGATTCCCCCCTCAAGCTTTACCATAACAACCAATAAGGGACAGAATGTGTCAAGCTTTGGAAGTTATAACAAAGAATTAGATTTGATTCCAGTGAGAACAGAAGCTATGGATGAGTTTAGGGCAAAGAAGTAACCTACTGTGATACACTTACAAATACTAGATTGGGAACTAGTAGGGGATCTGAGTCCATCCCCAGAACCTGGGTGTAAAAAGCACGCAGTTGTAATTCTGGGGCCGGTGAGGTGGTGGCATGTTGATCCTTGGGCCTTGCTGGCCAGCTAGTCTAATCAGACAAGTCCTAGCCATTGAGAAACCCTGTCACCAAAACACCTAAAACATTCCTCAGATCATGTCTGAGGAATGACACTTGAGGTTGATCTCTGGCCTCCACATCACATGCATGTACACAAATTACCCCACCCCAGAAACCAGACTAGGCATGTAGCTCACCTGTACAGTACCTGTCTAGAATTCACTGTATGGGGCTGGAGGTAAGGACTACTGCTAGAGCCACTGCCTAGCAGCAGGGGCTGGGGAGGTAATTTAGTGGTAGAGTCCTATCTAAAATATTCCAGTGAGTGTCTGGGGTATTGCTCAGTAGTAGAGTTCCTGCTTAGAATGCCCCAGTGAGAGGCTAGGGGTGTAGTCCCAATGTTTTCTGCACTGAACTGCTTGAAGACTATGGGTTCTGTTTCTGAAAGGGAGAAAGCCAATAAAGTGTTTTTCTTTTGTGTGGTGTACCATATAGTACTCCGAGAGTATTTTCTACAGATGGAAATGTCAAGGAATCTGCTACAGAACAGAGAAGGGTCTGAGCTGGTGGCCAAAGGCCTCAACAAAGAGCTCCCTAAACTGATAGCTTGTATCCTGTCACTATGGGTCCATGCACTTGGGGAGTATTCTGTCTTCCTCCCTAGGTGAGCAATGACCTCATCAAAATAAATAACAAACAAACAATAAATAAAAAGAGAGAAAGAAAATCCAGAACTGAAATATATTCTTTATTTCAAGGATGAATGTCAAATCTGGGCAGACACCCTTGTTAGTTGCCGCTTAAGTACCATTGAAAAAACACCCTGGGAAAACAAAGGAGTGTGTGCTGTTGGAGGGCCCAGTGATAGAAACACATTTGGGTTTCATAATGCAAGGGAGGGAGGCCTGATGTCAGGGCCAAAACTAGGTTATGAGACATAAGGACAGAGACCTGGATTTCTCAGCGTGAGCAAGGAGGGCTAGGACTTCCACTCCTGGATTTGACAAAAAAAGGGTTAGGCCTCCTAGGTCCTAGAGGGTGGGAGCTATGTTACATATGAAGGAAGACTGGAGGGTAGTACCGAGTCTGAGGAAGGCAATCTAGGAACTGGATTCCTGAGTCTGAGAGAAGACCTTAGTACGAGTGAGGAAGGAGGGTGGGGTCTGGGGTTGGAGGACCGATGGAGCCTGAATGGACTCCTGGATCGGGTCGGGGGCGGAGGCCTGCGGTGTGGACAAAGGGTGCTGGGGGAGGGGAAGGTGGAAGCTGGCACTCACCATACTAGCACAGTGACACTAGCAGACAAGAGTGCAGCGATTGCTGCGAGCAGGAACAGGTTGCCAAGCGTCAGAGCCCGGGGCCTGGCAAGCAGTTCGCGTAGGCTGGGCCTCCAGGGCTCGATCATTTCCGCCTCCCGCGGCGTCCAATGCATCACTTCCCGGAACGTGACCTGGAGCTCAGTCTCCCCAGGCGGAGGAGGGCCGGTCACTGCCGGGGCGCGCACGTTAGAGGGCAGAGGCCTGCCCTCGGCCCCACCTCACATCCTCGCCCCTCCCGCACCGTTCAGATAGAAGTAGAGCCGAGCCAGGGGACGCTGGTCGTGCAGAATCACGCAGGAGAAGGTCCCGCGATGCGTGGGTTGCACTGGCCGAATCCGCGCCAGGTACCCGTGGGCTCCTGGTACATCACGGAAGTAGGACACGTCCTGAGTTCGGAGCTGCGAGATAGCCAGGGTGAGGCTGAGGAGCTCAAAAGCACCCGGACTTACCCAGAACGGCAAACCCCGCCCAGTGCACGCCACCTCCTCTGGCCCTGACTCAACTCGCAAGCCTCTGACTCTTTGGGCTGCCCTAAGCAACCCTTTCCGGCATTCCTTAAAGCCTGACTCATAACGCACATCCAAGCACTGATCTTCCATATATTTAACCTCAGTCTTTCTCCAGGTTCCCGATCCTCCTCTTGCACTAAACCCAATGTGAATTAGTCTGAACTTAGCCTCCTCCTTTCCTGGAGCAAAACCCACCCCTTAAGCCCTCCAGCTGGCCCTGTCCGGACTCACACCTCCTCCCGCGAATTTCCAGGAATAAGTGATCTCTGATTCTGGCAACTGGAAGCCCACGACACAAGAAAACAAAGCCTGGTCCCCTCGCTTCACCGTTACATCCCGAACTGGAGGGAGGAAAGGTGATTCTGGGAGGCTTGCACAAGCCCCGCCCCTTCCCTGGCATCCCAGCGCAGGCCCCTCACCTGGACAGTCCAGAGGGAGGTCGCAGATTGTGGAAAAGCAACCCCAGCAGTAGAAACGCCTAGTGACCTCCTGGACGCCTGTGAGCCGAGACCAGAAGCGTCTCCAGTCCAATTCTCCGGACCCTGTTTAATCTACGGGGACCCTCAGGGTAGAAGATCGACCCCGCCTTTTCTGAACTATTTAGATAACCATGTCCAGTTGGCACCTGGATCACCTGCTGGCTTGTAAAGCCAGTTTTCTACAACATATATGTTGCGTGTGTGTGTTATAGCCATTGGTAATGGAACCTAGGAATTTGTGCATGCTTGCCAAGCTCCCTATTACTGAGACACACTCCCAGCCCCTCTGGAAGAGTCTAGGCTGGGAATTTACCAGAGGCACGCCTCCCCCGCACCCCCTCTCCCCCAGTCCCTGACTGGGAGATTCTAGGCAAGTGTTCCATTGCTCTGTATCTTCAGAGCTCTTTTTAGATTTTGTTTTGAAACTGGTTCCCCTAAGTTGCCCAGCATGGCCTAGAACTCTATGTAGCCCAGGCTGGCCTTGGATGTGTGATCTTCCCGCCTAGACCTCTAGTTTATGTGCTTTCCTAATGGCTTCCTTTGTATCTAAGGCCCAGTCATTTTCTCCACCCTAAGTTCCGTGTTTCCAACCCAGCTTCCACTGACTTTTTAAGTTTGGGTCTAATTCCTTACCACAAGGAGGGATGCAGTCCTGGACTGTGGAGAGAAAGGAAGCATTAGGACCCAGGTAGTTGACACAGAGACCTACTACCTAAAGCTCCTCCAGAAGGTATTACAGGCAGGGAACCCTCTCCTTTGGAGAACAGAGCACATTGTTCCTAAGGGCCAGGGCCAGGTTCATAGCACTTCATTCAGGGGGTGAAGCTAGGCCAAGTGTGTTTAAGGCCTGCCTGCAGCTAACTATGAGAATCGAAACAGGGAGGGGAGTAGATCTCAGGCAGTCCTTCAAGGAGTCAGCACCTCACTAGTAGGCCCAGTTAGAGAAGCACCAACTACAGAGGATGCCTTTGATGCAGACCTACTGTCATATGATCAGTCCTTGGATAGGAAATCCTCTGGCCCCAAGGTTTAGTCTGGATTCAGTGTGTAAGTAATTGTGTGTGGTGTATTGTGTGTCTGCAGGGGGCAGAACTGGAGGCTGGTTTACCTTTTTTAAGCTGTTTTATGGTCCTCTTCATTTTTGCTGCAGCACTGGGGAAGGCGGCCTTAAAGGACCCTGGAGGATGAAGTAGGGTGTTTGCACTAAGAGAACCTTCCCTAACCCTAACCCTGCATAGTAGTCAGGACTTGCGGTCTGTCCGGTAGTAAGTACATGCTGTGTTCCTGCCTCCTACAGGTCCAAAGGGATGGCTGGCAAACTTCTACAAGGTGCTCCTTCTGCCTCCTGACAGCACTCTACACTTAAATCTCAGTGGGAAGGGGAGGACAATGATCAAGTCTTCTGGAGGGTTTACCATGCCCTACAATGTTGGCTGTTTCCTTTCTCTGATGCAGACCTCTTGTCCACTTCCAATTTTCATGTTACGAGTAGCACCCTTAATTTGTTTACAAACATTTTTTGCACATATCTCCATCATTCTGTATATCTTACCATCTTTGATTACCCCAAATCCATACTAAAATTCCCCACTAGTTTGCAATTACACATATGCAAAATAGAGGCTGTGTATGCAAATTAGATGCTTCTTATAAGTTAGATATTTACATTTGATAACAGCTTAAGTCCATCTTTATGGCATTTTGGTTTAAGACAGTGGCTCACTGTGTTCCAGGCTAGCCTAGGCCTCTCTATCTCTATGTAGCCTTGAATTCAGAGACCTGCCTACTTCTGCCTCTCCAGTGTTGGGATTAAAGGCACACATAACCACACTCGGCTCCTTTTTGGTATTCTTTTAATTAATATTTTTTTTTGTTGAGAGTTTCATACATGCATGCATGCATTGTATTATATTCATTCCCCTCCCCTTCCCTATCTTCTTCCAGAACCATATACTTCCTACTCCTCCTAACCTTCTTCATGTCTTTTTTTTTTTTTTTTTTTTTTGCAAATATAATTCATTCAGTCCAATCTGTGCTGACCATCTACTGGAGCACATTGAACCTACCATCCTATCAGGGACTTTATGTACCCTTGAAGATAACTAACTGGCTCTCTCTCCTCCCTATCAGTTTTGGATGGAGGTTTGTGAGCCCCTCCCCCACAGCACTGGAATGCTGAACAACTAGATCTTGTGCAGGCAGCTACAGCTGCTATGAATTCAGGAGTACATTGGTTTTGTCATTTCCAGAACACACCGATTTATCTAGTCCCCCCAACCTCTGATTCTTAATCTTTCCACTCTCTCTTCTCAATGTTCCCCAAGCATCTACCTCTTAAACCCTCAGAACCCACAAAAGGGCCCCAAGTCTTACAAAACAGCCCAGTAAGTATATGTCAGTGAATTTTAGGGTCCAGGAGGAACTGTAGGTCACCAGCAGTTAAGTGGCCTTAGACCCAAATGCCATCACCTGGATGTGATAAAAACCAGACAGGAAAGTGTTTCTTTTTCTCTTCTTTGTTTTTCTTCTTCTTCTTTGTTTTTGTTTTGTTGCCAGGGTTTCTCTGTTTAGCCCTGGCTGTCCTGGAACTCACTTTGTAGACCAGGCAGGCCTTGAACTTCGAAATCCATCTGCTTCTGCCTGCCAAGCATTGGGATTAAAGGTGTGCACCATGACTGCTGGCTTGTTTCTTTTTCTATATATGAACAGGTTGCTGATATATAATTTGGGGACAAGTATACAAAAGTTTGATATCTCAGTCAGGAAATAGTGTTGCATGCCTTTAATCCCAGAAATTTGGAGGCAGAAGGATCTCTATGAGTTCAAAGCCAGCCTGGTCTACAGGGTGAGTTCCAGGACAGCCAAGGCTACACAGAGAAACCCTGTCTCAAAAAAACCACAAATCTTGTTATCTCTTAAAAATAAAAGAAGGGGGGTGCTGAAGAGATGGCTTTGCAGTTAAGCTAATGCCTTGCAGAAGACCTAGCAAGCACGACGGCAGTTTCACAACCACCTGTAACTCCAACTTCAGGGCATCAGCTTCTGCATCTACTGCTTCAGGTCGTCAAAGGCTCCTGCGTGGCACTCACATGTACCAACACAGCCCCTTTATCCAAATAATTAAAAATAAAATAAATTTTAAAAAATAACCAAATGAAGCTGGACAGTGGTCAAACATGCCTTTGATCCCAGCACTCAGAAGACAAAGGCAAGCATATCTCTGGGAGTTCAAGGACAGTTTGGTCTACAGAACTAGCACAAGGACAGCCAGGGCTGTTACACACAGACACCCTGTCTCAAGTAACCAAAAAGAAAAATAAATAACTAAATGAATTGATTGTCAAAAACTGAGATCACAAAAATAATTAGCATCTTTTTTTTTTTTTTTTTTTTTTTTGGACAGGATTTCACTGTGTAGCCCTGGCTATCCTATAACTCACTTTGAAGACCAGGTTGGCCCCACACTCAGAGATCTGCCTGCCTCTGCCTCTCTTTAGTGCTGGGATTAAAAGTGTGCCTCTCCACTGCCCAGTGCTTAGCATCTTAAAAAAAAAAAAAAAGTACAAAGTTACAATATAAAACATAGGCCACAGTACCTAAGGCAGTAATTAGCAGGAGTTCAATGACCCCCACACCACTCCCTTTGAATAGAGCACTTCCCAGTCCCAGCCACCATTTATTTCTACCCCTCTGCTCTTATGTTCTGAGTACTTGATTTTCACCACCATAGAACCATCCAGACCATGAGGGGGAGCTCTCCAGAGACTAGAAACAAGGTAGGTGGGCCTTATGGTGGAAATGGCTATGGCAGTGTCCACCTGCACCCCTTTCATATGTGAAATATTAATCCCCAGTGAAGTGTGGAAGACTGCCACAGTATTTGGAGACAATTTTCTTAAAGAGGTTAAAATGATGTCATTTGTGCACTCCTTAGACACAAAGTATGATAGTTCATCTTTTTTTTTTTTTTTTGGTCAGTTTCATAGGATTTAGAATCAACATGGGAACAAACCTCTGGTCCTGTTGGGGGTGAAGGGAAGATCCATCCTGTATGAAGCTGGTACTAAATCATGGGCTGGGGTAGCAGAGTGAATAAAAAGGCAAGATGAAAACTAACAGTCATCTCTTCCTGCTTCCCAACTGTGTATGCAATGAGATCAGCCACCCCACATTGCTGTTTTAACTTCCTGTCACAATATTCCAGAGGCTCATTTGTGGTGACCCCAATCATAAAATTATTTTTGTTGCTACCTCATAACTGTAATTTTGCTACTGCTATGAATTGGGATGTAAACATCAGTGTTTTCCAATGTCTTAGGCGACCCTTGTGAAAGGGTCCCAGAGAGGTCAAGACCCACAGGTTGAGAACATCTAGACTATACTCTAAACAATGAGCCAGAATAAACCTTTTCATTAAGGTGATTGTCTTGTATTCTGTCACAGCAATGAGGGTGATGACCAGAATATATGTGTGTATGAAACTGTTAAAGAAGTAAAGGTATTAGCTAAATAAGAATGGCACATTGCTGTCTACAAGGAAAGAAGCACCAAAGCCAAGAAACTACCTCAAAATGAAAAATCTGGGATCATCCTTTTAACCATGAGAGCAGGAGTGTGTGATGCTGTAAGGAGGATATGTTCAGAGTGGAGCCCTCATGGAGAGGCTCAGCGCCAAAGCAATGACTCACGGGAGGCTGTGAGTGGGTGGGATGGATCAGGTGCACCACAGAGACCTGTGAGGTAGGCAGGGGTGGTATAGGCTTATATATCTAGTACACATGGGGTCAGGGGTAGAGGGAAATATCCTAAACAGGGTAAATGGAACACGGATTAGGTCAACTGAACCACAATTGTATAAAGACTGCTGCAGCTGGTGAGGGGCATGTGTTAGGAGCTCTGACACTGGGATTTCATCCTGGCATGTCTGTACAGCTATGAGGACACCTGTTTCACACTGAGGTATATCTATACACAGATCACAAGCCCACCTCCATATGTGAGCTTGGTCAGGTGACCATTCTCTTGTCCTCGGTTTCCCCATGCATAAAACAGCAGTGGTGGCAGTGTCTACCACAAAGACCTGTGTGGCCAGCACTGAGTGCCATGGGAGATGGAAACTTTTTCATTCTCAGCTGTTCTGTGGCTTGCTTTGGAGTGCCCATAAGCCTTGAGTCTGAGTGCTTCTGGCTACACAGAGTATCATCTACTTCTATCCCCTCCAAACCTGAGATGGGTTAACAGAGGTGCGAAGAGGTTAGGGAAGTTGGATCTGATAGCACAGGCTTCTGGGGACCGAGGAAGATCATGAGATCAAGGCTAGCCTGGGCTATGTAGTGAGACCGTCCCTTAAAGCAAACAAAAAGGATAAATATAGTAAAAGTCAAGGTCACACAGTGACTTGTAAATTTGGGCCTCCATACTGAACTATTCATGCAGCATTTTACAAAAGATTTATTTACCTGCGTGTCTGTGTGAGTGTGTTCATAAACCTGCAGGACATGCATCTGTTCTTACCCACGGAAGTCAGAATGCAGCATCAAGTGTCCTCATATAACACCCTGGCCTTTGCTGTGAGGCAGGATCTCTCTGATGCTACAATTAATGTGTCCTCAGGTAGGCTGGAAGCCAGATTAATGTGTTCTCAGGAAGGTTGGAAGCCAGCAAGCCCCATCAAACCCCCTTTCTTCATTTACTTTGGATGTGGGGTTGTAAGTGTCTAAGGACATGGCAACACTTAGTTCAGTGCTTTTGGGACTCAAACTGTATTTCTCATGCTTGCACAGCAAACACTTAACCACTGAACTATCTCTAGCTGCCCCCACACACACACCTTGTTCGTTGAATCAGGGTCTCCCATAATCCAGAGTAATCCTAGTCTCCAGTACACTCTTGGACATATACATGATAAAAAATAAAAACAGGAGCTGGAAACATGACTAAGCAATTGCTTCTTTGACAGAGGACCTGGTTTCAGTTCCCAGCCAATACCCACATGGTGCTCAAAACCACCAGTAACTACAACTCCAGTGGATCTGAAATTGTTTTTCTGGTCTCTTCACACACCAAACATGAACATGGTACACAGACATACATATAGGCAAACATTCATCCACATAAATAAAAAGTAAAAATGGAAATTTACTTGGTTCATAATGTTCTACACACAGTCTGAAGGTTGAGTTCACACAATATTTTGAGCGGGCCTGAGTTTTACCTGTGACCTGTCATGTGATGTTATGTGGAACTAAGTTGACATTCAAAAAGGATTTGGATTTTGGAACATTTTATATACACACACATCCACACAGGTAAAGAAAACATATATGTCACTGTTTTATTTTGTTTTGAGACAGTCTATGTAACCTAGGCTCCTTCAATCCTACTGCCTCAGCCTCCCAAATACTAGCATTGTGTGAGCCTTTATTTTCCTTTAGTCAGGGTCTCTTGTAGCTTGGGCTGGCTTCAAACTCACAAAGTAATCAAGGATGATCCTCCTGCCTCCACTGAGATCACAGATGAGTGTAACCAAGCAAGAAGTATACTAGGGGCTGTGGATAAAGCCCATGACTTCATGCTTAATGGGCAAGCATTCTACCAACTGAGCTACACCTCTAACCTTTAATTTTTTTTTTTTTTTTCACTCTGTAGTCCAAGGTTCCCTCAACTCTTGACCCCTCTACTTAATCTGAATGGAGATTACTTAATGTCAAAGGAGTGACAAATCACATCCAGTTTAGAAACAGATTATTGGACTAAAGATATGCAACCTATACTCATATTATAAACTTATGCTGTATATATAGAGGCATTATCACCCGTGTGATCCCCAAGAAACAGCACTAGTCTGGTTCATTCAATGCACAGTCATCATTAATTCTGACTACATGTTTTCAAGCCCAGCTCAGTGCTAACTTTCCCTGGAAGATAGGGCATTGAAACTCCATCTCACAGGGCTGAACATCCCTTAGGATAATAATTAGCATAAATGACAGTGCAGGAGACATAGCACCTCTAGGCAAATACTCTACAGCTTAGACATAGCCCCAGCCCTGCACTGCTGGCTTCTAAGTGAGAGCTTTATTGCGAAGCCATGAACCTAGAGCCTCACTGGTGTATTCTAAACAGGTTCTCTGCGCCCCCGAGACACACCCTCAGCCTCACATTTTATTGGCTGTTTATTGTCTATGCTCTGCCCTTAATTGCAAGCACCTCTAGGGCAGGACACCTGCAGTTTTGGTCCAGCTCTGACCCCACAGGTGGTTCTGGAATATTCCATAAGCCTCTGTCTGAGGAATTTACTGGTCCAGTTTCTCCCAGTCTCCATTCTCTCCCTCTGTGGGGTCCCAGAAAGTCTGTCTACACCCAGAGCAGAAGTCCCTCCAACCTGCCTATATCACTCTGTGGTTCTCCAGATCCCTCAGGACATCCTCGTAAGTCTCCCTAACATCCAGGTGTCTGGATGTCTTGTGCATGTCACCAACATCCCTTCATGGTTATTGTGTAATTACCCTAATCATCTGTGCCCAGTCCAGTTCTTGCCTCCCTGCTCCCCATCTTAACTGATGTCACTCCTAAGAAGTAAGACCCCAGGTGAAGGCACGCCTATAACCCCAGCTCTTTCCCTTCTCTGGAACAAACCACCAGATCCGGGACCACTTTAATATTTCCTAGTCCTTCCCCTTCTCTGTGGTCTCAGATCTGTGTCATAGGCTACCTCCCCTCTAACCCCAGCCTCCACCCTCCCCCAAGTCTCTGTCGAACACTAGAAATATCGTCTACTCCCGGATCTGCACTTGGTAGCCTTTTCCAAATTTCCAAAAAGGAGACAAGCCCAGATAAGACCAGAAGGCATCACCCAGAACCCTGCATTTCCTTCCATCTTTCAGGTCCCTCAAGTTTTTCTTTGGGATTAGGGACACACAGAAAATCCTCTCCATGATTGGGGGGGGGGTGTGTGGGGAGGAGTCTTAAACTCCCAGATCCTGGGAATGGCCAATTTATCTTCCAACACGCAAAAATGAGTTCTCATGCTGCAATACACGCTGCATGAGAGGACTGTGTGCTCTGTGGCTGGGGTGATCTGGCATGAATATTGCTAATCATGTTTACATGTCCCACGCCTTAAGGTTGATCCCACACAGCTACATGGACATGCTCTTCCCAAATGGCTCAAGCAAGGAGTCTGTCCCATGAATGGCTACCTGTCTCTGTTAGCCATGAGAAATATATGAGTGCTTTGCCCTAAGGGATTGTGTCCTCCCTAACACCTATCTCAAAAAGAAACATTTCCTCCCAGTGAGCTCTGACTGGGAGAACATCTCACCCTAGGAGATGAGAAATGTTTTACCTTATAGGTGAGTTAAGTGGTGACCAGGTGAGGCAGGAACACACCCAGAACCACAGATAGGTCACATGGACTAGAACCCCAGGGCTTCAGACTCTGGCTTCTATGCCTCCCTCGGTTTCTTACCATCTTCGACTTCACTTGCTTCTGCACGTTCCCCAACAAATAACCTACTTCACACAGGCTTCCATTATCACTCCCTCCAACCAGGGGGATCGCTTTATGCCTTCACATAGGGCAAGGAGATGGGGGGCGGGGTAGTGAGTGAAGAGTTGGGGGGAAGCCGAAGCCAAATTCCATAAAACACTCACCCTGAGTTGCAGCCACCTCCTGGAGGGAGAAGATCATCTGTGTAAATGCATCATGCAGGTGGCTTCTCTCATCATAGTCTGAGGGTGGATGAGAAGCATGCTAAGGAAGCACAGTGGTACATATCTGGTGCCAGGGTACTTTCTACGTCTGATTCATGGCTGAAAGTGTCCATCCCCCACCCCACCCCAGGGTCCCTGTGCGCTCTCTGGAGAAATAATACTTTCTGTGTTTTTTTGTCATCAACCCTAACCCCTAATCTGGGTATCTGTCCCTCCTTCTCTCTAGTTTCTCCTTATCTCTCTAGGCCTGTCTCTGTCACACCACCCTGGATCTTTTACTTCCTCTCAGTCTATTCCATCCTCATCGGTGTCTTTCTTGACTCTCTAGGTCCCTGCCCCCACACCCCATCAGTCCCTTTCTCCCTTACTCTGGGTCTCTGATCACCCCATTCATCTGTGTTTCCCGTCCATACTCTCCTCTCTTCAAGCAATACTCCTCATTCTAATTTTCATCTCTTCCTTGTAATCCTGTCAAGGCCTTCAGTGGCCTTAGCAGCTCTCTGAGGAGGCACTGTCTCTAGTCTCTATCTCCACTCCTCTCTGAAGGTGTTTTTCTTCCATTGTTTCCACCTGTCTTTCTTCCCTGTGTCTCTGCCATGATCCTGTACTCAGCTTTTCTTCTCTGAGTCGCTCAAGGTTTCTCCTGCCCCTCCCCAAGGCCCTGGTTCAGGGACGAGGGTCTGTCTCCTCACTGATTTCCGTGTCTGAGAGACCCTCAAAGGCAGTTGTGAGAGCATCTTTACACTGGCTCAGCTTGGGGCCCTCTGTGTCCACAAACATCTGGCAGAGATGGAGGCGTTCCTCGTAGGTGGTGAAGCAGAGGAGACATGCCCACGTGGACGCCCTGAAGATCAGCGGGAACAACAGGATGATGCTCCCCACTAGGGCAACAAGGGCCATCACAGAGGATCTCTGGGTCTGAGGAGACGCTAGCAACCTTTGTGAGGTCACTATGGGGAAGGGAGGGGGCAGTTGCCTAAGATCGGAGATTTGTCTTTCAGGTTGCCAAGTGTCAGGCTTCACCCTAGAGGAAGATTGTCGGGGTTCACCTGCAATCCCTACATTTGTGGCTGAGCCAGGCGCCAGGCTCCCAAGAACCTCACCTGTGACCCTGGACATCCTCACAGGTTAAAGGGTCTCAGGGACCCAGAGGCCGGCAATGTAGCTATGGTGGACCAGAAAAGCCCTTTCCCCCAGAGTTGGAGCAGGGAAATGAGAGATACACTGAGCCCCAGAAGACAGAAACCGGGCAAAGACCACAGAGAAACTTGGAGGGATTATCGAGAGGCCCAGAGCCCACAATGTCACAGAGATAGATTCACAGTTCTAGAGAAATGGAAGCGTGGAGAAAACCCCAAAGACAGTGGGGTAAGAGGGATGGAAAACAAGGAAATCTGATGGCAGAGAGACTGCAAAGAAAAGGGCTAGGTAGGGCACAGGGTGTGCATAGAGAAGGCACCCAGCTCCTCCCAGAAACTCTGGGGCAGTGGTGTGGACCTGGGGTCCCCGCCGGCCCCTTTCCGTGCAGGGCGCAGCCTGGGGAAAGCTAGGAGGCCGTATAGTGATCTCCTCGGGTGTCTTCCTCAACTATACAACCTCCTACCTCAGCCCGGGGGGCGCGGCAGGTGTGCAGATTGACAGATGGAATGATGGGGGGACCAGGAGAAGTAGGGAGGGTGGGGAGGGCCGGGGAGGTCCCAGCCGCGATGGTGAGCCCCCGACACGGACCCACAGACACGAGCTTGTGTGCGGCGAAGGCCCCGCAAGGTCGGTTCTACGGGTGGGTGCCAGGACCCAGGAGTCCGGGCCCCCGGCCCCCTCCTCCCCAAGGAACCCAGGAATTCAGTCCCAGCCCTTCTCCCACAATCTATGTCCCAGCCCCCCTCCTTCAAATCCAGGGATCCAGATTCCAGGCCTCCTCAGACCCTGGTGGGGGGGGGTGTACTGGCTTCAGAACTCCTACCTCAGACTTAGGGGTTCAGGTCCCAATCCTTCCTCCCTCAGATGCAGTGCTCCACACCCAAGAGCCCAGTTCTCTATCAGACCCAGGGGTCCAGTCCCTAGCACTCTTACCTCAGACTCACCAGTCTATCTCCCCCTCCCCCCCCGCCCCCACAGACCCTGGGTCCAACCACAGGCATTTCCCTCAGAGGCCCACAGCCAGGGAAGAGATCTGGCTTTTGGAGTGCAGAAAGGAGGGGGCCTCATTTGTCTTGGTAATCTGACCCCCCTCCTGAAAACCCAAGATTTCAGACCCCAAGTCTGAGCATGAGGGTTTCTGGGTATCAGAAATACTCATTACCCTCTCCGAAGAATGCTCCCTTCTACCTTTCCCCCACTCTCAACCTTTAGGGTGACAGCTATAAAAATCCAGGAGTGATGACACCGACCAGGGCCACCTCCTAGACTCCTCCCAACTCAGGGATGAGGCTGCTGCCTGCACCCCTGAGCCCCTAGAGAGGAAAGCACTTGGCCAAAGTTAGATGGCTGCAGGTGGGAGAAGCTCTGAGGATCTGCACCCATCCCGAGGCTCAGAGCTCAGAACTGGTCCTCTGGGGCTCCCAGGTTCCATGTCCATCTTCTTTCTTTCTCTCCGCCCGTTTTTGTTTTGTTTTGTTTGTTTGTTTCTCCCTTACCCTGCCTTTTCTCGTTTCTCGCTTTCTCAGTTTGTATCTTCCTTGTCTAGGCTCTCTTGACATACTTACTGGTCCTCACTCTTGTCTCTGTTCTGGCTGACCCTCTCTCTACGTTCACCTCTCCTCTTCCTCAACCTTCTCTATCTTCTATATCTATCTCTCAAGAGTCTCCCTCTTTTTCAGTGTGTTCTTTGGCCCCCTTCTTCCCTGGCTTTGTCTCTCATTTTCTCTTAATTTCTTTCGGTCTCCCTCTCCTTTTTCCTCCCCGCTATTCAGTCTAGCCTCCACCCTCCTCTCATCTTCCAGCCTTCTCTCTCCTTCCCTCCCAGGTCTCCTTCTCTCTCCTCCCTCCCCTCCCCCACCCTCTCTCTCTTTTTCTCCTTCCCTCTCTCCCTCCCTCCCCTTGGCTGCTCAGAGCCAGGTCTGGAGCTGGGGGTGGAGTGGGGGTGGGTCGAGAAGGGGCCCTGGGCCGGGGTAGCGACCTGCTGAGGAGGGGGGAGGAGAGGCGGGAAGGGGGCGGAGAAGCAAAGCGGGAGGCGGGGGCCTAGGATGGGTCTTCGGGCCCCAGCACAAGCCCTCCTTTCCCTCCTTCCCAACCTCCCAGACCCTCAGGCGGGGCGACAGTCAGGCCAAGGTGGGGAGGAAGGGGAAGGGAGGAGCCCCCCCCCAACCAACCTGGCCCAGAGCCCAGGCCTGGGTTCCCAGCATGCCCTGGGGCTGCCTGGGGCCTGAGGAGGGGGGTGAGGGAAGCGGGGAAGCAAGAATCTTAAAAGATTCTCCAGACCAGAGCATCTCTCTCGCACCCAGCAAGTTTTTCCTCCGAGGGGAAACTGAGGCTCAGAGAGAAGGCTCCGGACTGGTTCAAGGTCACTGCCCCAGGCGTGGGTGCATCTCCCTTGGGTTCACAGGCTTGCTTTGGGGAACCGGTAGGCGCTGGACTTTCCCCCAGGGCCTGGGTCCCCTCCCCCTCTTTGCAGACCCTAGGGAGCCCCCAAGGGTCAGAGAGCAGACCCAAACAGTCTGGCACCATAGCAACCAACTGGCCCCGCCTTCTTAACCCCTGGAGGGCTGAACTCCAGCTGGGGCTAAGAAGGGATGGGGGGGACTCGTGGTTCCGGGTAAGGAGCGCCCGACCTCCCCCCGCCAAGCCGTGGCAGCTAAGGGGCCCCCGACTCTTAGGTTATGAAGGGGAGGAGATGGGGGTGGCCTATGCGTCTAGGCAGGAGGTGGTGGCAAGAAGCAGCTGGGTGGCCCAGACTCCTGGGTCCTGGGCAGACCTCAGCTAGCGTTTCGGATTGTGGAATTTTGGTAAGGGGCTGGATGGTGGGCTCTGAGGGAGGAGGGGGCTGAGGCGTGGAATCCTGGGTCCCCGGAGGAAACCTGGACGCTGGGCCTCTCCACTACCAGACATCCCTTGCCCCGGGCGCTGACCCGGGCCCGTCTGGCAGCCCAGACAACCTCCCCCTCCTTCTGGCACCCTCCCACTCACACAGCTCACCCTTGACCCCGCAAAGCCCCGCAGCCCCATCTCTGCCCCTCCCCCTCCCTTCCAGCCAGACGTTAACCCTTGGGCAGCCGGAGGCACCTCCAAAGCCAGACAGACAGCCTTCTTCCACCTCCCCTGCGGCCTCCGGTATCTGGTCCCCAGTCCCTTACACTCTAGGATCCTACATCCTTCCTTTAGAATCTCAGAGACCCTCGCAGCTTCGATAGCCCGGGAACCCTGAACGTAGACCTCCAGTCCCCTCCATCAAAGACAGAGGAGTTCGGACTCCCAGCTCACCTCCCCACCCCCAACCACCACCACCACTTCTCTGCCATCCAAGTCAGAACCCAGAAATCCAGGCCCAGGCTGGCTGCCTCCTCCCTTGGGGACCGTGGAGTCCGGCCCAGGTTCCATCCCCCTCCGGTTCCGCAGACTCACCGCTCCGCGGCTCCAGCGTCGAGGGGACCCAGTGTCCCCCTCCAGCCCCAGGTTCTCCATCCTCTCCCTCTGCCGCCCGCAGCCTCTCCCCTTCCTCCCGCCAGCCCCGCCATCCTCCGCCCCCAGTCGCCTGCTGCCTCCGGCCGGTGCCTCCTCCCGGCACTGCGCGCCCGGGCTCCCCCGCCCTAGACCCCGCGGGCAGCGTGGCCTGGGACCGGCCCCCTCCCCGGGGGGCCCCTGCCCAGCCCCTCCCCACCGCCCAGCCCAGTCCGGCCAGGCTTCCCCCCCACCCCCCTGCCCTGTAGCTGGCCCCGGTCCAGGGGAAAAAATTCCATCCAGCCCTAGGGAGGAGGAGCGGGGCGGAGGAGGGAGCGGGAGGGGAGGCCGGGCTAGGGGAGCATGACGCAGGGAGAAGGGAAGGGACAAAAGAGAGGCCGGGAGGCAGTGGAGGTAGGCTCCCTCCCTCCCTCCTCCTCCTCGGCTAGTGCCCGCTCAGTCTCTGCAGCTTTCTACCCCTCGGTTCCCTCCATCTCACCTCCCTTCGTGCCTCTCGGCCTCCTCCCTCTTCTCCACCCCCCCCCCCAGCTATTCTTTTTTTCTGGCCTCCCTTCTGTCTTCCCTTTCTGCCTTTGCCTGTCTCCGTATTTTCACCCCCCACCTTTTTTTTTTTTTTTTCCTAGCGACGGCTCTTGCATTTTCTGTTTTTCTCCCTTTCTGGCTGGGTGTTTTCTCTCTCTCCTCTGTGCACCTTTCCCAACCAGGGGCTGCATTCCCACCCACCCCTTTCGGCTCTCCCAGCCCACCGCCCCCCTTCTCCAGCGCAGTGTTTCTCCCCTCCCTGGCACTAGAACTCAAAGGTGAATGAGACCCCCGAATCTACCCTTGCACACTGAGCTCACGGTCTGATGAAGGAAGCACACCCAGCGGCAGAATGTCCCATTCCAGAGTGATGGAGTGTGACGGGGGTGGGGTGAGGTAGGGGGTGTCGAGACTGGAGACTCAGGAGATAGGGGGTGGGTGGGGCGGCGGATGGAAACCCACCCTACAGCAGTCAGCAGATGACCCGCCAAGAAGGCGTGGTTGCTGGTGCAACCTCAGAGAATCAGAACTTAGACCTGAATTGTTGAGGGCAGCAGTAACGGAGGTCCAGGCCAAGGGCACAGTTTAGGCAAAGGCCCAAAGGCAGGAACCAGGGTGATAGCGGAGCAGGTAACAAAGCAGTCCAGTGTGATTAGGGGCCCAGAGCCACGAAGCGCAGCAGAGGATAGGGTGAGTGGGCGGGCAGTTCTGAACGTGTTCAAGGCCAAGCTCAGAACGAAGTTGCCTGAGGCTAACTAGGAGCCCTGAAGCATTTTGAGCAAGAGC